ATACGGATCCAGAACTGAATTCTTTAAAACAAAATGGCCGCCAGTCGGCCATTTCGAACCCGATCCAAAAAAAAAAATGACGTGCATCAAGGTCCTATTATGTTTAATGTATGTACCAAATTTGAACAAAATCCGTCCATGCATAACTGAGATCCGGGTCCGGAATGGTGAAAATGTGCGATTTTGATGCATTTTCGGCCTTAAAATGGCCGCTATTCGGCTATCGTTAATCGGATCATGAAAAAAATGCATGTGCATATGTCCCATATAATGTGTGATGTATGAGTGAACTTTGAACTTAATCGGTCCATGTATGTTCGAGATACAGGTGATCACGGACGCACGGACGGACGGACGCACACAGGGCAAAACATAAGTCCCCGTTTTCGGACTGTGTCCGAACGGGGACTAAAAATGGTTGCCAGTTGGCCATTTTAAATCTGATCTGAAAAACAAATTGATGCGCATCAAGGTACCATAATTTTCAACACATGTTCCAAGTTTGCATGAAATCCATTCATATATATATATATATATATATATATATGTATGTAAGAGGCAAATAGGGGGTTCTTAAGGTAGCAATTAGAGAATATTAGGTTAAAAATTTATCTGATTCAGACAATTTTTAAAAGCTACTACTCGTGCTATTATAACAAGCTACACATCATCTGAAAGCTTACAGGCAAATACAGTGGTACATGCCTTACCAATGTTTGTCTAACAAAATACCTAATACTTTGATATTTTGTTATTGTGCTTTGACTATTCTGACTATGCCAGTGTTGGATCATACAAAGTACCTCTTCATACCAAATATTAAAGTAATCAAGCTGGTAGTCTTCATGAAAAAGTAGAAAATGTAATTTTTGATGGACGCACAACAAACAATCACTCATATGAACAGCTCAGCTGAAAATGGCCTTTTTTATTATCCAATCTAGTACAGATATAGCCTGTTTCATAGTAAAAAAGAACATACCTGTAAGTTTGATGGTTTTATTCGACCTTTTCTGATTATTTCAGATATCTGTTTGCTATTGAAATTAGAAACACCAATAGCTTTACATAATCCTTCATCCATAAGTTTTTCCATCTCCACCCATGTTTCCATGAAATGTACATCTGCATACATGACTGAACCATCATCATATCGCGGGACCGCTGCATCACCGAAATTACTACAAGAAATAAACAATACATCGATACATCGGTTTACCTGAAGTACATACTGATTTACAATACAGAGTTAATCTTATTACCAAATATCCAAGCCTTTATAATCTTATTACATGATACAAAGTGGATACACCTTGGTACAATAGTCGTGTCGCTACACAAAGTGCGGGTAAGATTTAAGCTAATCTTGTACGTTTGCATATCGAATAGTCAAAATGCGTTCATGCACAAGAGGAAACAGAGGTCACCACGGGCAAACGAACAGTCAAACTTGTTGAGAATATACAACAGCTCATTAGCATAAATTTGCATAATTGTCATCCACCCTACAATTCATACCATCTACATGGGTTATCTGCCCAACAATAATACAGACGTACACTAAACACTTCCACCACACCCAGTCAACTATACTTTTGACTGTTTTGTATGTTGTCAAAACACAAAACAAGCGTAATCAAACAAAACCTAAAAGTACATATTTTAACCAATTAAAACATTGAAAAAAAAAAAGGAATTGCTGGATATAAAACTTACGCAAATGAATAAGGCCAATGTATCAGATACAGGTCTAAGTAGTCCAATCCTAAATCTTGTAGTGTTTGCTGACAAGCTGGTTTCACATCCTTGGCAGCATGTTTTGTAGTTGCCAACTTAGAACAGATGAAAAAGTCTTCACGCTTGACAGTCTGCAGTGCCATGCAATCAATTATACAGGAGATAAAAAGCAATTCAAAATTATTATTTAAATATGTTGTAAAAAGTATACATATTCTTTGTAGACTTCATTGACGATGACATAGTCCCTGTCAGGTTTTAGGTGACTGTCAATTACGAACAACAAAAGATGTAGATGGATTATAATTAATGTTGAAGTAACCACTACAAAGAGTTATTTCAAATAGTACCATATCCAGGTAATGCTCGGTCAAAGTGGCACCTCCTACACATGTAGCAAAGAAATCTTTTCTTTAATGTACAAACCAAGTTGCATATTCCACATTAGACTGGCTAAGTTGAGACAATTTTATTGTTATATGATAATTCTTTTAGAACGAGTTTGTAGAATCTTCCATGTTGACGCGAAATTACCACAACTGATCTGTTCTGCCGCGCCTTTTATAGTCGTCACTATAGTTATACCTGTTTTTGTGGTTATAAATATGCTAATGAGGAATATTAATTGTAAGTGCCAACCAATAAGAAAGACTGCTTTTAGTCCGCGATCTGTTCCACCCAACCTGAACGCATACATACTTTCCTCCCGGGTTCCATAACGTCACTGCGTATCATGAATAAGTAATAATAATGAATATGCTGCAAAATCCACCAATCATGGTAATTTCTTGTCGGACCACAATTTAAGAAAAAAAATATATTCAGTCTAATTCCAAACACAAACCATGTACGGCTGGAAATTTTGAATCAAATCAAAACATGTGTGCTCAATTACCAAGTTTCAATAAAATCTGCCCAGACATGATAGAATGAATGGTTGATGATGATATGATCATATTTTGTATTTGCACTTAACTCTAACACAATGGAAGAGGGTTTCACATCATGTTTTTGTACCAAATATAATCCAAATTGTTTAACCCAAGGCATGACAAATTTCACATGAATTAATCATGGCGATTTCTTTTTACAGCATTGCATGACTGTCTTGTAAGATTTTGTAGAATAGAACCTGAGGGCCAACAGTACCAGGTGATTTACCATTTATGAACTTAACCTTTTGCATACAAAATGAACTAATCTGGCGCTAGTTTTACTATGTTGCTATGGTAACATTACCAAAATCACACCCGATCCCGCCTCATTCTTAAGAACGTGAAATTGATGATGTTAACCTAACCTTTTCACCAGAAGTTCCCCGTTTTCATCACAATTTCACATAATGCATGTAGTTTACTTTCTGAACTTTCCTTCAGAAGATTAGGACAAAAATAACCAAATTATTTTGAGTAAATACTAAAAATTGACTCAAATTTTGCCAGAAATATTGAAGAATACAAAAAACTAGTGCAGGAAAATTTGGGATGAGAAAGACTGGTGGTGAAAAGGCTGTACTCTAAGCATTCATAAAACTTCATTGGGTTGAAAAAAAAAATTAAAATTGAATATCATTACATTGTATACATTTCTAAACACTTGTGCAAATTTAATTCAGGTAAATATGTCACAGTACTCCCAAGATCTCAATAATTAAATTGCCAGAATGCTGTAAGGGTGGAACTTTAATCTTTCATATCTGAACAAGTTGCTCGATTTCAAAAATTAAGTCATCTTATGCTGCATAAAGTACAAAAAGAACAGGTCTCATGTGACATATACACTACTGTAAAATACTTTATTTTAGCTGGGGTTAATTTTCACTGAAAAGACTTTTTGGGTGTTTTGTATGAAATTTATTTTCAATGATTTTTGACAAGTTGAATGTAAAGTATAGGAAAAAAGGTATACCCGGTATTCGCTGATTTTATTTTCACTGGATCATTCCTTCAAAGAATATTAATTCCATGCAAAAATAAAGCATTTTACAGTATGTATATTTGATTAACAATTCAGGTAGGGTAAGACAACTCCTCAGCTTCAATGTGTTAATATTCAATGGACACGAAGATCATCACCTTGCTCCTAGATTGTCAGAATTCAGTTATGATCATGTGACTTTCAAGCTTGCAGATTTTACACATTTTGTGTTCTATAGTAGAAAATGTTCTCATTTCACTGAAAAGTATTGTGAAAATATAAGAAGAAAATAATAGAATTGGAGTTACAAGACAGTACATTATGTCTGCTACTCTGTATTTTGTCTAGCCATGCCAAAAATTATAACCAAATCAAGTCTGATCCACTACATGAAATTTAAAACAGGGATCAAGCTTTGTGAAAATTATTTAAAAATCAGTTGACAATAGGTGCTCTGCCTAAATTCAAAACAAGGTCATACAAATGTACACACTAGGTCTTGCATATGAGAAAACAAAGTAGGAAAATGTCAAATAGTGACTGTACATGTCCATGCTAGATTGTGGAATGTGGCCGACTGAATCCAACCACAAATATCGCAAGCAACTGAACATGCTACATGCTTACCAATTACATTTAGGCAAGGAAAAAAAATTCTTTGTTTCTCGTTCCATGGAAATTTTAAAATGAGGCGGCGAGGCGATTTTTTTTTTTTTTTTTAAAACTGAGCTAAAATAGGGAAAATTTGAGACAAGTGCGAGTACAAGTGCATTTTGAAATGCTTTAGAACGGAAAAATGTTCGAGGCACATAGTTCAAAATGATGCGCGCGAGAACGAGAAACATTTTTTTTCTCAGCCTTACTACAGGTATATTTTTGTAGCCTTAAGTGATACCGATAATTGACGCCCATCTTCAATATCCGACGTTTACCTAGCCTTTTTTTCTATTCCTCTCTCCCTCCCCCACCAAAATCACTGCTGTACACTTTCAGTAAGACTGATTAATTTATAAAATAGACGCGTTTTCAAATTTAGTTTAGATGTGTACACATGTTTTGCCTTCAATACAAATGGTATTTTTGCCTCTATGAAAATTTCAAATTGTAACTTTAAAAAAATCATTCAATTGTACTTGTTTTTTTACAAACCACTGATCAACTTTGAGTTTTTTACTAATTTTCTAAGTTGTAGCATTGTAACACAAACCATAGTTATTGAAAGGGTGGTGTTACTTAATGTCAGGCCAGGCTTTTTTTTATTCCTTGTTTCTTGAGTTTTTATAAGGCAATTTTTTTGAGGAGGGCGAAAAAATAAAATTAATTCCATTTTTTCTATTAGATTTGTGTGATTCTCAAAGAATTGTAAGTGAGATCATTGATCGAAGAAAAAAAATGAAATAAAATTTTATTCCATGTATAACCTTGTTTCTCATATGCACGAGACTTCGGTACTTTAATCATGATACTCCCACGAAAATGCAACTTGGGTTGTTATGCGGCGGCGGAAAAAAGATTAAGATAAAAAAAAAAATTTGTTTGCACTTGCACAAGTCGGCGGGCGCGAAAAATTACGCTGAAATAAAGTTTATTTTCATTTAATTTTTGGCTCCTGTACATTCGGCGGGTTCGCGAAACAAGGGATAATAAAAATCTGGCCTCAGCTTGCTCAGAGCAGAACAACAGCAGCTAGGAAATCCATTCAACCATAATTATAAGTATAATCTCAAATGACTGCCAATGCGAGGTAAATTAGAAATATTAATGCAATTTGTAAATAAAAATACTGTGTGCATCTGTTGTTAATGCGCATGATTGCATGTGTCCCATAGACACATTATTCCTGGATTTAAATAAAAATGCTTAATCATACACAATTCATGCATTTGTTTGCATAAAATGAAAACAGTAAACAAAGTAATAATTTAAATGAAGTACGTAATACTTGTTCATGACAAATATTGGATGTTTTTTCAAAAACAATATACACTGTACTAATTTAGTAGACTGTTCACATGGGAGTGACCAGCATTCCACTTTATAATGTACAACAGGCATGTATACACATGCAGTAACTGGTATATTTACAAGTGAAGCATTTCAAAATTGGGGGGGACAGGAAGAAATTAGTAAATTGCAATTTTTTTTTTTCCTAATATTTTTTTTTTCTCAGTGTGACAGCAGTTACACCCCCACACAGTATTTTTATTTACAAATTGCATTAATATTTCTAATTTACCTCGCATTGGAGCAGTCATTTGAGATTATACTTATAATTATGGTTGAATGGATTTCATAGCTGCTGTTGTTCTGCTCTGAGTAAGCTTAGGCCAGACTTGTATTATCCCTTGTTTCGCGAACCCGCCGAATGAACAGGAGCCAAAAATAAAATTAAAATAAAATTTTATTTCAGCGTAATTTTTCGCGCCCGCTGACTTGTAAGCGCAAAAAAATGCTAAAAAAATATTATTTTTATCTTCATTTTTTTACTGCCCGCCGCATAACAAACCCAAGTTGCATTTTCTCGAGAGTATCATGATTAAAGTACCGAAGTCTCGTGCAGATGAGAAACAAGGTTATACATGGAATAAAATGTTATTTCATTTCTTCTTTCCGATCAATGATCTCACTTACAATTCTTTGAGAATCACACAAATCTAATGGAAAAAAAGAATTTTATTTTTTTTTCGCCCTCCTCAAAAAAATTTACTTATAAAAACTTGAGAAAGAAGGAATAAAAAAAATTATGGCCTAAAGAACAAAATCAATGAAGTAATAATTATCGATTCGATATTTCTCAGTTTATGCTTGTACAATCGTACATTTAGACTGGAATCCGGTCATTTCAAGTACACTCAAGAATGGTCTGATGAATTGCTATGTAGTCAGCACAGAATTCTGTGTCACTGCTAATTGGTTGTCTCCATGACTTCAGTACATTCCCATGGTAAGGCACATGCACAGACAGACTCAACCACCCACCGACCCAGCCACCGACCCAGCCACCGACCCATCCACCAACCCACTCACAACACTCCAGACCGATTCACTACAGGCTAGTCTATTATTCAAAGATATTTTTAAATATTCCGAAGACACAGAGCACAATACGACTTGTTCGAAGCAGACACCATTCCAAATTTATCATTGGTATTTCTAAATATTTTGGAGTCTATGATTGTATTTAACCTCGCTTATAGTTCCCACTTAACGTCAATTGTGCATTCTTGTCATTGATAACGAGGAATGCTTTCTTCTAAACTTAAATTCATTGGCTAAGAATCCAATAAATACATACTCATACCAGTACAAGTGTTATATTGTAAAACTGTGTCTGTTGTATAACACGTATGCAGCTGAATAATACAAAAAAATGTAAGCAATAAAAACAAGTAGTGTAATTTGTTAATGTTCGAGAAAGGCAAAAGTGAACCTAATCTCTCTCCATTCCCTCCAATGAATATGAAGTGAAAAAAGGAACGACTTTCCCCTCTAGAGTGTACGGACACCCTCCCCCACGTCATAAAAACTGAGCAGTTACCGTAATTTTCATCAAGACAATGCCTACCTACGTAAAAAAAAATAATAATAATGGGCGTGCCCACGTAATAAAACTATCCGTCTGGCTGGGAAACGTTGTAATATTTTTCACTGCTAACATGATTCATTGAGTATATCACTAAAACAAAAATACTATACTCACGATATTGATATATTAATATTTTCATGACAACAGAAAGGTCATCTAAAGTTCACACAGTGTCGCCTACCTTGCCAATGGTTAATGAGAGTGCCTCGCCAATGGCTTTCTCATTACCGTAGACCGGTGCACAGTCAATGTGTCGGTAGCCATTCTCAAGTGCAACGCAGACAGCGTCCACAACGTCTTCTGGTTGACTCTTCCATGTGCCCAGTCCTAACATTGGCATCTGGGCACGTGTATTCAGCGTGAGTTTTGTGCTCGCTGCCATTGTGCTAAGTCAAACTACCATACACCGTGTGAATACTCTAGCTTACACTGCCCTACGTGACAAACGTCTGCCGCCGTACTCTTTATAAATATATTCCCATGCCTGCGCCTGCGCAACTTTAATAGATGTTTATGGACTTAGCAACTCCCTACTTTCGTTTGGCATGAAAGTCGCGTGAATTGGAATTGCGCCCTCTGCGATCTCTTCCGTCGTTCGTTCTTTCACACAAGCGTCGATTTGTCATATGACTTTATGTGATTGCCTTTCGGGGTATTTTGTGCAGCGGCAAAAACAGTGAGTCGACCAGTCTACGTGACGTCATAATGACCCTATTGTTAGAGGTAAATTCTTCAAAACACGTAAACAATTTAAAAAAATCCTCAAATACAAAAAAAAAAACAATTTAAAGTACACCAGCTTAATGAAATTGAGAGTCTTCAAGGTAACAATTCATCATTCTGGAAAAAAATAAGTGAACTCAACAATGACGCGAATACACGAAAGTCAGAGACTGATTGCATAGCACCAGATAAATGGTTGACACACTTCAAAGATCTATTAAATTCTAAACCTGGTAAAAATACAGAAGAACAAGACGATATTATATCAGATCTTAGAAATAGGGAAATTAAGGGACTTGATGCTAGTAAAACTGATTTGGATGGACCAATACAGGAAAATGAAATTAAAGAAGCCATCAGATTATTGGAAAACAACAAATCAACTGCAGAAGACCAAATCTGTAATGAGATGCTAAAATGCGGTGAACATTACCTCATCAAACCTATTAAAAAAATATTTAACTCTATTTACAATGCAAATATCTTCCCACATGCATGGAGTACAAGTTTAATAATACCTATACATAAAGCAGTTTGGCATGATGGTCTATTCTGGAAACTATTAAACAATGGGGTGACAGGTAAAATGTATCAAATTATTAAAAGTATGTACAGTAATATAAAATATACAATAAAAATGAAAGATGGTTTAACCAATCAATTTAATTCAACACTGGGTGTTAATTAAGGGTGTAATCTGAGCCCTTCACTCTTCAACATTTTTATTAATGACATCATGTGATCCCCCAAATTTAAATAACACACCAATCAGCTGTCTAATGTATGCAGATGATATAGTTATTCTTTCTAAATCCAAAAATAGCCTCCAGAATGCCCTTGATAATGTCTCAAAATACACACAGAAATGGAAACTTGCTGTGAACACAGAAAAAAACAAAAATTATGGTTTTTAATAAAAATAATAAACTCTATGACAGTGATTTATTCTTTTTTGAAGGGAATGAGATTAACATCGCGAGAAATTATAATTATTTAAGTATTGTTCTCAGCCCTAATGGAAATTTTAAAGCGGCTATGAAACATCTGAAATACAAAGGAATGAAAGCATTATTCTCTTTGAAAGCCAAATTAGGTCATTATAATGAAAGCCTCAGTCCCTCATTATTGTTATCATTGTTTGATAAACTAATAAGACCAATTCTTATATATGGATGTGAAGTATGGGCTGAAGAAAGTTCATTCAACTCTACTATAGAAGATGTACACCTCAGCTTTTGTCGCTTCATCCTAGGCGTTTCAAAAAACACTCCGAAATTGGGAATTTATAGTGAGTTGGGTAGATATCCTACCGATTTATTCATTAAAAAACAGTTAATAAAATATACAAACCACCTAAACAAAATTCAAAAACCCATTATTATGAAGCCTTCCTACTTAACAAGACTATAAAAACTAAGTGGTACATGAACTTAACTCAGTACTGAAATCTACAAATA